GGGCCGGGGCCTGGTGATGCCCGAGGCCCGCGCGCCCCGAGTGCGGCCGGGCTGAGCCCATGGCCGCGCGCGGTGATTTCGCAGGTGCGGCTTGGACATGCAGAACGACGCGGGCGAGTTCGTGGACCTGTACGTGCCGCGGAAGTGGTGAGTGCGCCCCCCTCCCCGCTCCCCTCCTCGCCCCTCTTCCCCCCTCCCCGCTCACGGCGCCTTCCTCCCTTAGCTCCGCCAGCAACCGCATCATCGGTGCGAAGGACCACGCGTCCATCCAGATTAACGTGGCCGAGGTGAGCTGGGGAACTCCGGCTTTGCAGCCGGGCCTCCGGGGAGGGGCCTGGAGGGCCGGGAAGTGTCGGGCCGGCCCAGGCCAGAGCCGGGGGCGCCTGAGTGAATGCTCCCCCCCTTTCTGCAGGTCGACAAGGTCACAGGCAGGTTTAACGGCCAGTTTAAGACCTATGCCATCTGTGGGGCCATTCGCAGGATGGTGAGTTCTCCATGACAGTTGCACCACCGTGTTTGGGCATTAGAAGTTTGTGTGTGCCGTCCCTTCCCCAGGCTGGAATGGAGGTAGACGGAGTTTTGCTGGCTGTCTGCCTGCCTCCTCTTGGGTGTCTGCTCCCAACCAGCTTCCCTCACTGGTGTAGTTGTAGAAATGTGAGCTGGCCAATCCTATGGATCCCTTGCCGGCCCCCAGGGAGCCCTGATGGGAATATTCAGGACTGTTCCTTCTTTTCAAAGGGGGAGTCAGATGACTCCATTCTGCGACTGGCCAAGGGTGATTGCATTGTCTCAAAGTAAGTGGGGTCCTTACATTGGGGCACAGTGGGCCAGGCTTCCCCAGAAACACGCTTTTAATTTTGTTTTTCTCTTGTAGGAACTTCTAAGAGTTGGAAATTTAGAGTGGAACATTTGTCATAAATAAACTGAGAAACTGTTGGTTTTTTTCTGTGTATGTGTGGGGTTCTGTGGGCCAGGAACCGGGGTGGTGCTTCATTGAAAGGAGACACACTGAAGTGTACTGCAAAACAAGGTTTTACTTTAAGAAACACGTTCATTTGAAAACAATCTGACAAAGGCTCAAGCATTTTGAGGTCCGATTTTTGCTCACACACAAACATCTATAACCCTTGCTGGTACCGGGAAGGGCCACCATCAGGTTTCGGTCATGGTTCTTGGTCTGTCTGGTGCATTGCAGATGCAGGCTGTCATTCCAAGTACTGGCTTTATTGTAGCAGCTCAGGTGCTGCACAGCAGCAGTTCTTGGCTATCCTCTAAAAGGATAGGGAAGCAGGGTTTCAAACAGACCAGCTTGGCAAATGACTAAATGCTACCACATACACAAGCAAGTCATTACTGTGTGCTAGCTATTTTCTCAATGCTAATGTCTGTCCTAAGGAGACTAAAGCAGAGCTTGGGAAGTCATCTTAACAGTGCCTGTAATGGGAGTGGCTTCTGGTGGCTGGATTGCTGCTTTTCACAGTGCAGGGCATGGAGGCATGGAGTGGGCATGTGTATGGGGGACTGTCTTTGTGTTCCACTCTGCTGAGGTGGTGAGGACGGGCGCAGGCTTGTAGGGAGCAAGCTGTCTTGTGCCTCTGCCAAGGGCTGGCTGTGAGTGGCAGAGCCATCACCCCTGTCCAGGAGCACAAGTGTCCAAGCCTAGACAGCCTGCCTCAGTGGCTGGGCTGATCAGTGCTCCTATAAGAACATTGGTGAGCCTGGAGGAGCATGAGTATGACCACTGCATGGCCAGGTTTGCCCAGATGGCATCCGTATGCTGAGTGCCCAGGGCTGCGGCACGAGCCTTGCTTGGTGGTCCTGAGGTCAGGCACACCTTTAACAGACCTCTAAACTAGATTTTGTTCCCTTAGAGACCCAAAGAACCAAGTCCTGAATAATAAATAGGGTTTTTTTCTGTTACAATATTGCTTAGGATAAGTCAAGAGCCAAGAGTCATTTTCCTGAAGTTCAACGTCACAAGTAAGCAGCTTTTTCTGGCAAGAGGCAGAGGTGGGTCCTGGCATGAGCCCACAGCCGGGGCGATTCACAGTGGCGTGAAATTGGAACAGCCTGAGTGAGGAGAAGGATCAGAGCAGGAGTCTGCTCTTGGTGGTTTAGTCCAACACCAGGGCCGTCCGTGCTGATGGGGAGCCCTGGTTGGAGCTTGCTCAGATAGAGGCAGGGAATGGGGGACGTCGCATCTAGCTGGAATATCCAAGATGGATGCTCCCACAGTGGAACCTAGTGACCTCGGTGTGTCATGTTGTCTGGACACCGGGTCCATCCTGGTTCTGATTAGTGAAGGCAAGGGGGCGCCCGGGATCCACTGCCACACAACAGAGACCAAAGTCCTGGTGCCAGGCTGGGCTCAGCTGAGCCTGTGTGTTCATGCCAGGAAAACTCTCAGAAGTGCTCTTGGGGGGCCGAGAGCTTTGGAATGAGGTGACACCCCTCTCCAGGAAAACTGAAGACAGCCGTGCAGCTGTGAAGGGCAGGTGTGAGTAGGCCTAGGAGACGGGTGCGTCAAGTGCAGACACCATTATCAAGGACGCTTTCCCGCGGAGGGGCCTGGGCTAGAACTGCTGGGAGAGGCGTCTGTAGTGAGGTAACACTTGGTTCTCGGGTAGGTAAAGGGCCAGTTCCAAAGCCACGAGGACTGTGAACTCAAACCCAATGAGATCTCGCCTGTTGAGTCGGAACCTCTCCTCCAGCTTCTGCAGGGAAGGAGAAAAGGGGCAGCTGGTTAGCCACCATCTCCGGCGCCCGCACCCGGGGTGCGCGTGCGGCAGGCTGCGCCCACACTCACGTCGATGAGCTGCTTCACTTCGCTCTTGCGGAGGTCGCTGCTTATCTTGGCAGCCAGCAGCACGCAGGCGCCGGCGCACAGCTTGCGGTTCTGCTTGTTAAGCTTGCCCTGCAGCACAAGCTTCTCGAAGTACACGTAGGCCATGGCCACAGTCACGGGCTCCAGGCTGCACTCCTCTGACAGGTTCCGCATTTCCCGCTTCAAACTGGGGGGTGAGAGGGGGAGCAGGGAAGCTGCGTCTGTGGGTCGGAGCTGCTGCACTAGAGAAACGGCACAGCCGCGCTGTGTGCCTTCGGGCTGTCAGAAAAGCCTGGACACAGGCGGTGGCTGTGGGCCAACCAGAGCAAAAATGGAAGACCCTATCTAAAAAGCAAAAGGACAGCATGGCTCAGGTGGTAGAGCCTTTGTCTAGTGAGCTAGAGGCCTGGGGTTCAATCCCCAGCAGCCTGGGGGATAGCTGGACTCCAGGGTGAGAGGAGCAGGGAGCAGGTGCAGCCTGCGGCTCCTGTCTTGCTCTTCCTTACCTCCTGATCTTGCTCAGTGTCAGCTTGATGTGAGGGAACTTCTCCTTAAAGGTCTCATTCATGTCCTTCTTGAGGTCTGCAGGTTTCACGTACTCGATCACTGTGGTCTGAAGGGAAGGACCAGGAAGCAGGGAGGGGCTGGCGTCAGAGGCAGACCCTCAGCCTGGGACCGGGGGCAAATGCGAGGCTTAAGAGAGGCCCCGGATCTCTGAGCCCATCTCTGTCCTTGGTGGGGAGGCTAGGCTACGAGGTGCTGAGGGCCCCAGGCAAGTGCCCGGCCCGGCTCTGCCCTGCAGCTGCTGGGGTGGGTGGGGACAGGCCTGGCTGGGCACCCCGGCCCGGGCAGCCGCGCGGTGGGGAGTGGGCCTGCAGTCCGGCAGAGGCCACGCACCATGTGGGAGGCAAAGATGAGCACCCTCTTGTGCTTCCCGCAGGGCCACTGCGGGTCGTCCAGGAGGTCGGGGTTGTACTCCAGCACGTCTCCGCCGTCACCCCCTGCAAGCACAAGCAGTCCCTGACCAGCAGAGCCTCGCTGGGGCTGCTGCGGCCCTGAGGGAGGAGCGAAGGCAGCATAGCACAGTGCCTGGGCCCCGTGTCCTCCAGCTGGGTGGACAGAGAAGCGTGCTGCCAGGCCCCAGCAGCAGCCTGGTCTGCTGTCCACAGCCTTTGTAAGCTCAGCTGCATTGAAGGAGCTGAGCGGGACGTGCTGACGCGGGCCTTTGCCTCGGGGTCCCGTGAAGGTATGGGATTACCTAGTTCGGTGCTGGCTGGCGCTGGCGGGGCAGGGGCAGGCTTGTGTCTCGCCCCTGGAGGAGCGCGGGGAATGCTGGGCCGAGGCTGTGGCGGCAGGCTGTGGCTGTCACTCTTGTGTGTGACCAGGGCATTGGTAGGGTACAGGAACTTTGCATAAGACACAACCTGGAAAAGCAACCACACTAGCACTTGGAGCTATTTCCCATTGCAGAAGGTCCCAGCAGGCTCCGCTTCCCTGGGACCTGCAGAAGGGCCCAGAAAGTGGCACATGCGTGGAGGCCGTGCTGCACGCTCTGGGGAAGCAGGGAGTGCCCACCCCCATGGGGGTCTGTCCCCCAGCAGGCCCAGGTAGGGCCTGAGGCACCGAGGACATGGGCTGAGATGGGCCTGGGCAGCTGGGGTGAGAGGCAGGCGTGCTGCCCTTCAGTGGATGTGAACGCTGCTTCTCAGCTCACCACCAGCCACCACCGCCTCTTGCCTTGCCATCGGCTCCCAGCTCAACGCCTTCCAACTCAAAGACCATCTCGGAAGAAACGGAAACACCGCCGGATGGATGCCTCTGCTTCTGGCTGTCCACCCTCAGGTCACTGCAATGCACGGGAGGGGGAGAGGCTACAGCCGCTCTGTCCAGGCTGGAGGGGCCAGGCCCCAGCAGAGCCCTCGCTCTGGCACCTCAGCCTGACTGCCCGCCCTACCGAAGCACACGTGCACGCGCGTGGTCCATTGGGAAGAAAAGTGGGCGTCACAGACCCTGTCTGCCAAACACCAGGTGGCCAACAGCTCTGGGACATCTGTCAGCACCTACCTGCACTTCTGCCCAAATTCACTTCTTGGTGTCTAACTCTTCACCAGTGGCCACACCCAGCGGCGGGGCTAGGACCTGAGACCCAGCTGTGTCACGCCCTGGGCACGCTTCCCCATGCAGACTACTGTGATGCCTTCTGCTGTCCCACCCCCTCAGCCAATGTTTCCTTCTCTGAATTATACTCAAGCCACAGCGCAGGACTGGCCACGAGGGCTGACAGCTGTGTCTTCAGAGGGAAACCTAGACACGGCGGCCTTACCCGATACCTGGCCCCAGAGGACGGGGGCTGCGATGGGCGGCCCCCAGCCATGGCAGCAGCTGGTGTGCCGCCCCACCCCACCTTTTGCTACTGTGGGGTGCGTGCCCACGTGAGCACGTACCTGACCCGGAGGCCCTCTCCATAGGGCAGCACGGAGAAGGCGGCACACAGGGAGCGCTTGGCACAGATGAGCACGATCCTGTGGGTGGCGAGGGGCAGGTGGGGCAGGAATTCTGTCCTGCGTGGATGCGGGCCCCACCAGTGATGCCCGGCCCTCAGTGACTCCTGGCAGGTTGCCCAGCCCCCAGAATATGGGCCTGTGGGCCTCACGTGCAAATATAGGCAGCCTAGGACCGTGAGGCCAGGCATTAGGGATCCCAGAAAGGGTGGGGCCTACCCCCCAGCACAGGACCCCTGGGACGGGGTGGGCCATGGCTATGGGGGCTGGGGCCCCCGGGGCTGCCTTGAGGAAGGGCTTGGACCGCCAGCCACAGCCCCAGGCCGGCTGCATGCGGTTACCTGCTGTTCCTTGTGTCATACTGCCTCATGTTTTTGATGAAGTGTGTTTTCTTCAGGCCTTTGTGTCTTGGTGACCCAGATGCGTGTTTGGTTCTGCAAGGTAAAAAAGCAGGTAGTGGGCTGGGAAGGTGGCTCAGTGGTAGAGCGTTTGCCTTGCATGCTTAAGGCCCTGAGTTCGATTCCTCAGCACCACATAAACAAAAAAAAAGCCGGAAGTGGCATTATGGCTCAAGTGGTAGAGTGCTAGCCTTGAACTGAAGGACAGCGCCCAGGCCCAGAGTTCAGGCCCCATGACCGGACCCAAAAAGAAAAAAAAAAAAAGCAGGTAGTGCTGGGCCTGCGGGGGGGGGGGAGTAGGGGAAGGGAAGCGGGGGGGGGGGGCCAGGGGCACATACCTCTGTATTGAGGCGCAGCCCACTGCATCTTCCAGAAATTCCAGGGAGCAGCGCTGGGAGGTGACCCGCCTCCTGTGGGAAGAGCTGTGTCTCAGGACAGACGGCCACTGTGGCAGGGACTGCCCACACCCCCGAGTTCCGGGGATAGAGCTGCTGCCGCCCAGGTCAGAGCTGCGGAAGGCAGCCCCGGTCCCACGGCCCAGCCTGCCCCATGCCGAGGGGCCCGGTGCTACACAGGCAGCCTCCCCGAGGCCAGGCCAGGGAAGCTGCCCCGAGCTCCGTCCACTGGGCGTCTGAGCCAGAGCCCTGCCAGGAGGACAGGCGAGAGCTGTGCTGAGCTCACCCACGCTGGTGAGGACAGTGTGGCTCCAGGCCACGGCCGAGCCCTGGGCTGTGCCTGGGCTTGGGATGGCGTCTCAGCTCTGTTCTCCCTCTATTAGACACGAAAAAGCTACAAGGTTCAGAGCAGCAACCCTGTAAAGGTCACTTCTGCCATCACCCTGGCATCACTTCTGCCATCCACCCAGAGGTGGATTCGTGCCTGGCATGAGTCACGGGACACGCAGAGCCCCGGCCCTTGCCTCTGCCGGGGAGGGTCCAAGCCGGAGGTTCGCGCTCGAGGGGCGGATGCTGTCCACCAGCTTCCGCCGGCGTCGGCGCCTCCCATGGTTTGTGGCATCCCTGACCTCGGGAGAGGCTGTGTGAGCATACGACCAACACCCTCGTTCATCTGCACTGACTACTCTGCAGGGTACTAGGCATGGCCCACTGGCAGCGAAGACCCCCCACGCACAACCCAGCCACACACAGACAAGCGCCTGCTTCTCAGTCTCCGGCATCCCTGGCATTTTCCGCAGCAGAACTGAACTCAGTCTTCACTGAGTGATGTTGCAGGAGGAAGCGGTCCAGGGCCTGGTGCACAGGACCACGCCAGAGCCACCCTTCCTGAAGCAGGGCTCAGGCTGGACAGATGGCTCTATGGCAGACCCACATTAGACATGCACCTCGGTCTGAGACTGGCAAGCTTTGCTCTTTTCCTTGTCCCAGGAGCCAAGACAGGCACAGTGTCCCTCAGAGTTCCCAGAATGCCGGGGAAGAGATCAAATACTATGACCCTGCCTGCGGATGCCCGTGATGACGCTGATGGGGTAGGGTGGGGGTGGGAGGGTGTGAACAGCGTTGTACCCATGGCGTGACTGGTGGTCGCAGAGGTGCCAGGCCCGTGGCTCTCTCTGCTCCATGCTCCTCCCACCCCGGGAGGCATGGAGCCTGATGGGAGCCGCCCAGGGACGCGGGAGGCCGGCCACAGGTATGTGGAGTGACAGCGATGAGCCACAGACCTTCTGGAACTTGGCGAGCAGAGCCCCAGGCCGCGGCTCCCTGCAGAAGTTCCAGAAGGGAATGCCAATGCAGACACAAGAGCCTTCCGCCAGGATCCAGTGGTTCTCACTGTTGACCCCAGGCAGCACTGGGGACAGCTTTGCAGGCTCCCTGTCACGTGGCGAGCCCTGTGGCCAGCGAGAGGCCACGCCTATCTTTCCAGAGGCTATCTATGGGGAGCTGGTTTTTTGCTGGTACTGGGCCCCCAGTACTACACAGCATCCCAGCAGTTGAGCTGGGCCTCTAGCCATTTTGTGTTGGTTACTTTAGAGACAGGGCCTCATTTGTGTGCTCCCATGTTGCTGGGGACGAGGGCCACACCACTGCGCCCAGCCACTGAGTCTGTAAGCCTCCATGCCCTGCTGGCCTCAAGCAGCAGTCCTTGGATCTCTGTCTCCCAAGTAGCTCAGGTTATAGGCCTGCGCCGCTGTGCTGGCCCTCGGAGATCTTTTTACATTGTGACACAGGTACTTTGCTCCGATGTGCACATGATTCAACCCAACTCCAGGTCCACTGATCTGCAAGCCTTCCAGAAAGCCCTGGAAACTTCCCTCCCTCCCCGACAGTGTGCAGGGATCCATGTGGAACCCAGGCAGCCACCAGGGCCCAAGCTCCCATTAAGCATAAAGTGCCCATCCTTGAGGGCAGGGAAAGAAATGCACAAATCACAAGAAACAGACAGCTGGTTAAAAGCGGCAGTGCCCTGGACCCCGCCACTGTCTTATGCATTCAAGCCTCAGCCCTTGGCCAGAAACTTCTAGATGAAGGAGCCCCTTGGCCTTCCGTGTGGGCACCCACAGATCTGAGTACACCCTTAATCCTTGCTGGGGTTCTGGGCATGTGCTGATCCGTGTCCCCTGCAGATTCAACAGGTTGAAGTCAAACACCAGAAGAGTCTCAGAGAGGGCTGGGGCCTGACAGGCGGCTGGTGTCCTTAATAGGTGATTAAGACACTAGCACACATAAAGGGCCAGCTGTACGAGCGCAGGGAGGGGACAGTCTGAGGCTAAGGGGAGGAAGTCCACACACCTACAAGGTGGCTCGGCCTCTGAGCAGAAGTGAGTGTCTGGCCAGACGGACAAGCCTGAGCCTTCTTCTGGCAGCTGACCTTCCTGACCTGGGGGCTCGCGGGAAGCCCCAATGCCAGATGGAAACGAGGGACTGAGGGCTGGCCTTTTGCACGGGTGTTACAGCCCCACGTACCCACTGGACACGACAGGCAGATCAAGGGACCAACATGCAGACAGTGACGATGCAGCAGCCACCGCGCCGGGCAGGGCTTCGCACTGCAGCTTCTGAGCTGCGTGAGCTGGGCAGGCTCCTTGAGCCCCCGAGCCCATCTGTGCGGTAAGGAGAGCAGGGCAGGCTGCTGTCCTGAAATGGGCTTTCAGTATGTCGGCAAGAACCATGCCACTCCCTGTGAGCCAAGTCAGGCCCCCCAGGAGGAGCACTTTTGGGAGCTGTAGCTGCTGGGCCAGGCCAGTACTTCCTCCGGGCAGCGCCCAGGGAAAGCCCTCCCAGCCCATCCTCGCCACTCCTCGAAGGCCCCTGGCGGCCTCAGGAGCGGGGTGGGGGACAGGCAGACAAGCCCCCAGGCGAACACTCCTCACACACCAACCTGGCAGAGGCTGGAGTCTGTGTTCTCAGGCCCCTCCCCAGGGCAGCCTGGCTCTCCAGGGGCATTCCCTCAATTACCCGGCGATGCCCCTGGCTCCCGCACACCTGGGGCCTCATTTGCAGGTGCAGAGGCAGCCTGCAGGTGCTGTGAGCGGAGGCTCGCTCCTATTTTCTCCTCACTCTAGGGATGGTGTGCTCTTCTCAGCAGCTCATAAAATCCATTCCCAGATGGTCCACACATCTTTTCCTTCAGTGACTTTTTCTCTCCTTCCTTGTGAGCCCTTTCTTTACAAACTCTATCCCACAAGTCTACCAGGTGGGCACTAGTCAGTTTATAGAGGAAGAAACTGAGGCACAGAGCCATCCAGCAACCTGCCTGGGGTCACCCAGCTAGTCAGAGGCGAACAGAAGCCAGTGCACATTGCCTGGCACTCGCAAGACAGGCCAAAAGGGCCAACCACAGCCTTGTCCAGCAGACTGGACAGGATCAGTGGGACCTGAACTATGGCAACAGCATACCTGCCCTGGGGGATGGTGGGGGAGGGCAGGGGGAAACCCAGGAGCAGGTGATGGCCACACGGGGTGCCTGTGTCAATCCACAGGCCACGTTCGAGTTCCACGTACCTCACCAGAATACGCCCCAAACAAGCAAAAAACAAGCAAACGGACTCCAATCCTGGCCTGGTGTCCCTCCGTGGCCCTTGCTGCTGCCAGTGCCTCCCTGACCAGGCCGCCGACGGGCCTCCACCTCAGCCATTCTGGTGGCGGCTTCCTCAGTTGATCACTAGAGGGCCAGCAGAGGCTGGGGCAGTCATCTTTCATAGGCTGAGGACTACAAAGGGTGACCACCCTGCCACAGGCGGAGGTTGGCGTCACCGGCCGGCAGCCATCGGAGGGCGCTGTTGAACCACCTGTGATAAAGGACAGGGGCTTTCAGCAAGCCCCTAGCTCATCCCACAGGCAGCCCCGAGGGCAGGTGGGCATCCTGGGCCCGGTAAGCACAGACAGGACTTGTGTCCCACTGCCACTGCTCTGCGTCCAGCCTGAGCAGCCTGCCTGGCCCACCGTGGATCCTCAGGGCACATGCGCCCAGGGAATGGCCCCCTCCAGGGTTCCGTCAGTCTCAAGCGAGGGCAGCCTGCGCCCGCACTGCCAGCAGAGGTCTGTGGGGCGAGCTGCTTCACAGGGTGGAAGGACACAGGGGCCGCCCGGCCAAGCCTCTGAGCTGCCGCTGAGAAACGCCCTGCGGCCCTGCGGTCCAGCCTTAGCCCACCCCTTAGCTGTTTTCAGATAGAGGGCAACAAATCCCCAACTGCATTCTAGAGGGATTTTTTTTTTTTGGTCGGTTGTGGGGCTTGAACTCTGGGCCTGGGCACTGTCCCTCAGCTCTTCAGCTCAAGGTAAGCGCTCTACCACTGGAGCTACAGCACCACTTCCAACAGCATTCGAAACAGAGTGCTAGCGCAAGGCCGCACCTCGCTTAACCTGGAAGGTGCTGGATGCTAACGAGCCCTGGCTGACTCTGGATGCTGCTCCAGACGGGGCAGCACCGAGAGGACTCCTGTGCCTCAAGGCTGCACCTGGGCTCTGCTTGGGGCCATCTGACTGCCCTGAGTTGTGGGGTCACCTTTCCCCCTGCACTGAGCCATGGGGTCACCTTTCTCCCTTTACTCGCACACTGGCACTAATAAGTACGAGGTGTCGCCAACTTTGTGGTGCTTTGAGACCACAGTCTCTAGACTCACCTGAGCTTTGTGGGCCAAAGCCAGAGTGCAGTGAGTCAGCTGCCAGGCTGGGCGCCTGACCATCTGCTCCACGCCTGGCCAGAGGTCCAGAAAGCAGTGTGCTCTGGGGCGTTAGGCAATCGCAGTGTTAATTCTCGTGACGCGAGGCGGGTTCCCATCTCCCCCTCCGGCTAGCAAACAGTGGGCCCCAGGATGGACGAGTGCTGTTGAGGGTCTCACTGAACCTCTAGCATCACCTGACCTCAGAAAGCGCTCTGCATGAGCCCATCCATTCCTCCGGAGGGGACTGAGGCTTGGAAGGCCTTTCCCGTCTAAGATCACAGAGCTACTGAACAGTGGGGCTGGGGATGGGGCTAGAGCTCGCGCAGGACCCCCCTGTGGCCGGGTGCAAGAGAGGTCAGGCTGGTGACCTCAGCCATTTCAGACCCATCCCCTGGTCACTCAGAAACAGGCAGGATCTGAGGTCAGGATCTCAGATGACACGCCTCCATGCTGGGCTCAACCTCTGGGTTCCCTGAAACCCCGCAGCTACCTCTCCGGGCGGGCCAGCAATGACCTCCAGGCACAGGGAGCCACGAGCCCCACCCAGGTGTGCACCCATCCCTCCCGGCCGGAGCAGATCCCCGCTGGAGGTGAGCAGCGGAGGGCATGGGGCAGGGAGCGGGGCGGGCCGGTGGGCTGGGGCTCTCTGGAAGGACACAGGGCGCCGGCTGCCAGCGCCACTGGGCAGGGGACGGAGCTCAGGGCTGGGGGCTGCCCTGGGCCAGGCAGGGGGGCCAGGGAGGGGGGCAGGGCCAGAGCCGGGGTTCAGCAAGCCCTGTGACCCGAGGGCAGAGGGACGCGGGTCCGGGTCCAGAGCACCCATGGGGGGGGGGCATCCGGAGCCAGCAGGGCCCTGGCTTGGCGTCAAAACAGGTCCCGGACGCCGGCCTCGCGCCTGGGCGGAGCGGGGTCGAGGCCACCCCGAGCCTCGCCT